ATTAAAAAAAAAGCCAACCATACACACACAAATAAAACCACTAGCATAGTGGAATTTCTTACCTATTATCATAGGATTCTTGTTCTTTAAGATACTGTTGCATTAATTCTTCTTGTTTCTTCTTATCATATGATATTTTCTGTTCTGCCATCCATACCTAGATTAAGTAAAAAATTTAAGTTAAATAAAAAGTTTGCTTTTCTTTATAATAAAATATAAAATGTTATCATAGTTTACAACATAACCTGTTTGGCCATAATGACATCACCACAAAATACCAGCTAAAAAGTCTGATTTGTGCCTTGATATAGGTCCTTAAATCTAGTCATTCAAAACAGCTAAACTTTCAGGCAAAAATATCAAACTTAAGAACCACTTTGAGCACCTGTGGTACAACAGCTTCTTGCACTGAGTCTCTGTGTTATCTCAGAGAAGAGAATGACCATCTTTCTATATGGAACATGTCTAGTCTAGAAAACGTCTAGGGCACAACCAGTAGGAATAAATAATGCCCACCAATGCCAATGGGTAACACAGACACTCCAAAAGAGGAGAAATGGAGGATAAGGAAAAGAAAAAAAGAAAAGAAACTGAAAGGTAATTGTAGAAAAAAGGGAAGAGACAAGAGAGGAAACAGAGACAACACAGATGCGTCAAATGTCTTGGGAGTTGCTCAAGGGCACCACACCACAGGCTGAATGTGTCCCTATGTGAAATCCTCAAAATCATAAAAGTGGTGGAGGTAAAAAGTTCACACAACTTATTCAAGGATACTTAATCAGGTTATTTCTAGGTTTAAAAGATTTCAATGCCTTCCTACTGCTTTTAGAGTAAAGGACACAGTATTTGACAACCATTCAATCTAAACAGCAAGTCAGAACTTTCTCTCCAAACATGCTAAGTTTTAAGAAGGTAAACTGGAGGACAAATACTTACATTGATAAAATTATAATTATTAATTGTGGGGCAGATAGGTGTGGTGAGGAGGGTGTGGGACAAACTGCCATTACTCAATTTTAGAAGCAAAACAGGGGTAGTTACCAGTATTTTAGTAGTGATAAAATAGGAAGGTTCTAAGGGGACACTGTTTTAGATGTGGACAAGGAATTCATATGGAAATAAAAGCAAAAACAGAAATGAAAAGAGAATTCTTCAGGGACAGCATATACCAGAAATTTCTTTTGGTACAAGTTTCCTGAAAGTTTCTTCCACTGACTTCATACTTACCAATGTAATGTTATAGAACAAAAAAAATCCCTATACTTGGAATAGGCAATAAAAAGCACATTTGGAATTTTCACTGTAGCTCAAAATGAAAACAGCTGCAACAAATATATTCAGGGTGTCACTGCCTGGTAGAATAACACATTAATAATATTCAAATGAATAGGATATTATTTCTAAAAGAATACCATTTCTTTAAAGCTCTAGATTTTACAAAGTTATTTATTAGTCTCAATTGCTCAAGAGCTTAAATACATATTGAGTACCATGGACTGGAATAAAAATAAAACACACTTTTGCCTTCAAAATGCTCAGAATCTAATAAAAATTATATAGCTTTTCTGTATGTTTAAGCTATTTCATAATAAGAAAAATGAATTGTGTAAATAATAATAAAGTTTGATATCAGGATAAAAGAAATATGCCCAAGATAAACAGAACAAGATAGTGATTAGAGGACAGGAGGAAGTCTGGTATAATGGAATGCTTTCTAGCAAGTTTTGGTTTTTAGAAGTTAATTTTTTTTAAAGACTTATTTATTTTATTTTAGAGAGAGGGGGGAGAGAGAATCTGAAGCAGACTCCCCACTGAGCGCGGTGCCTGACAGGAGGCTCAATCTCACGAACCCAAAACTGTGACCTGAGCTGAAACCAAGAGTTGGACACTCAACCATGTGAGCCACCCAGGCACCTCTAGAGGTTAATTTTTAAATTAAGTAACTATATTCATAGGTAGCCAAGGTTATAATTTCTTATAATCTTTCTAAAGATGTTCTAATGCATATATACATAAAATTACACATATATGTATATACATATATAAAACAAACATACACACTCTTTTCATAAATGGTAACATATACTGCATACATGCACACAGAATATGCATAAAGTAAAACCGAATATCATGGAGATCATTCCTAGATCAGTAAATAAAAGCTTTCCTGGTTTCGGGGGAGGACAGGCTGAATATCATTCCACTGTGGAGCTATCCCATCATTTATTTAATTAATCTCCTGCTGTACTGATGGGCATTTAAGTAATTTCCAATATTTTGCCATTATAAACTCTGCTTCAACAAATAACACCATACATAAATAATTTCATACATGTTAAGCAGGGTTTTGAAGAGGATCAAAATTTTGCCAAGGAAAAAACAGGGTAAGATATTACCAGTAGAGGGAACAACTCAAAGGCCCAAATGTGTAAAATAGGAATTAAGTAGTTTGATATTACTGGAGTATAAAATCTGAGGAAGAACAGCAATAGGGGATGAAGAAGGAAAAATAAACTGAAGTTAGATAACTAGGACTTAATCCTGTAGTATTTTAATAAGGAGCCAAAAGAGATCAGAATTGTGTTTTAAAAAGACTACTCTATGGAAACAACCCAAATATTCATCAATAAATGGATAAATAAAATGTGCTATATTCATACAATGGAATTATTAAGCAATAAAAAGGAATACAATACCGATACATTCTACCACATGGATGAACTTCTAAAACTTTATACTAAGAAAAAGAAACGATTCATAAAAGGCCACATATTGCATGATTCCATTTATAGGAAATGTCCAGAATAGGCAAACCTACAGAAACAGAAAGGAAGTTAGTCGTTACCTAGGGAGGGAGAGCAGGGAAGGTTAAGAACAAAAGGAGAGTGACTACTAACAGACACAGTTTTTTGTGGGAGGTGATGAAAATGTTCTATAATTGTTTGTGGTGGTGACTGCACAAATCCGAGAATATACTAAACATCACTGAATAGTACACTTTAAGTGGGTGATTGTATGGTATGTGAATTATATCTCAATAAAACTGCCAAATTAAGAAAATATTATTCTCATGGCTATATAGAGAATGGAGTCAAGAGGGGTCAAGACTGGAGTAAAAAAAACCAAAAAAACAAAAACCTCTTAGGAAATTTAACAGTTTAGGTGGAAGATGATGAGGGTCTAAGCTAAGAAACAGGCAGTAGAGACAAAGAGGAGAGATGAATTCAAGAGATATTTGGAAGGTAAGACAAAGAGAATTTACTAGCTACCTAGATAAAGGAGTGATGGAATCTTGAAATTTCTGGCTTCGGTGTCAGGATGGATTTGTGTTACTACCTCTATTTCCTACTAATATGAGATAGGAAGTATAAAAAGAAGAGCAGATTTAGGATGAAAAATATATCCATTTCAGATATGCTGAGTTTGAGATGCCTGTAATATACGAAGATGACACTGTCTAGTATATAGTTGTCTAGAGGTGCCTTAAGCTAGGGCGAGAAAACTTAGAATGTAGATTTGAGAGTCGGGAGTAGAGAGGGAGTAGTTAAAACGATGAAATTGGATGTGGCTGTCTGGAAAAGCATATAAAGTAAGCCACAGGCCAAGGATGAAGCTCTGGGTAACACATGTATTTTAGGGTCAGGCTACAAATAAGTTTGTGTGTAGAGGCAATTAGCATTTTATTGGGCAATTCCTCTATGTGGTGGGCCCATGCTAGGTGGTACATTGTTTCAAAACCTTTATACACCATCCTATTTAGTCCTCAAAACAATTTCTCAAGGCAAGGTAACGGATACTGGTCATTTTAAATTTACAGATTAGGAAATGGGGATAAGGGATATTAAATATTTGTGCAAGGTCTCAGGGCTAAAAGTGACTGTGCTGAAATAACTAGAATCCAGGTCTGTTTCCAAGGTCAGACTTTTCCTACTTCACCACTCTTGCTTTCCACTGTCCTACTATTCAGCACGGTTTTTCTGTACTGAACCGAGTATGCCTGTAACCGATTTAAAAAGCCAAAACGGGGGCGCCTGGCTGGCTCAGTCGCAGAACGTGTGACTCCTGATCTCGGGGGTCGTGAGTTCGAGCCCCACGTTGGGTGTGGAGATTACTTTAAAAAATATAAGCAAATACAAAAATAAAGCCAAACGTCGTCGTGTATCTGAGCCTAATGTAACACTGTGTATACTTCAATTAAAAAATAGTAAAATAAATAGCCAAACTTCAAAGAGGTCATCAGACAGACGCTACATGACTAGGTGGGATAAAAAGAGGAAGCAAGAGGTGACTTTATTTCCCTTTTAAGAGTTATCTTAAATAAACAGGGAATCATCTTTGGACAGGATGGCAGAGCTCAGAAGCCACGATCTCTGGGAACCAGAAGCAGCTGAGGAAGTAATGAGGAACCTTATGATCAGACTTCTTCATATCTTAAAGATTTACATTCTAGCTGACAAGCCGACCGAGCAGACGAAGGCTGCCCGTCTTCTGGCTGATGTAGAATAGGCGTCGAGGGCCAGCTTTGTCAGCGAGTTTCTCAGCGGAGAAGGGGCGAGAAGATCAGGGCTTTAGGCCTGGGGAAGAGGTGACTGTCCCAGGAATCCCAGAGACACCACCACTTTCACCTCCAGCAGCCCCTGGGAACCCAGAAGCCAAGGGCCAGAACCCTCCCCTGCTCCCCTTACTTACTTTTTTGATATTGGACTTGGAGGCGGGATGAAAGTCCTTCTTGCACATGAAATTGGCGAAAGACTTCCCCATCCTAAAGCCTAAGGTGGGGAAGGTAGCCGCTAGACCTGTGAACAACGTAAACAAACACTGCCTCCTAACCGGAACTGCGCCGCCAGGGGGAGAGGGAACTTCCGCGGTCAAAGGTGACAGCTTCCGGCGACTAGAGCCTCCGCCTACCCCAGCACGCCCTTCCCCCTTTCATTGAGGGTAGGTCCTGGGGCCGGGGGGAGGGGCGTGAATGGGGGAGGGGCGTGAACGGGAGAGGGGCGTGCGTAGCGGAGGTGCGAAGTGGGCAGCCGCGAGGGGCCGCACGGGCGGGACCGAGGGGCTGTGGGAGGTGCCCCGGGTCTGAGGTGAGCGGGCGGCGGGCTGAGCGCCGCCAGCGGGGGTGTGGAGTGTGTGCTGGGTGGGAAGGGGTGTTTGAGGTTCGAGCCCTTTAGTCTGTGGACTCTGACTCGGGTTCCATGAAGTTTTCCGCACCGATTTTCTCGTCTGCGTTGTGAAAACAGTAATTCTCGCCCAAACTGTAGTACGTTCGTATGGATCAAACGATGTGATGTTTCTGAAAGCTCTTGGTGAACTAAAGCATAAAATAGAATGCCAACTCCACGAGAGCGAGGATTATATTTTGTTACCAGCTGTACGGTGTCTGGCTGAGAAAGATGTTCATAAACATTTGTTGAATGATGAATGCGTACTAGGAGTTCGTAAAGACTCTCAAACCTTCCCTTTCTAAGTGGGCTAGGTGTTTTCCTAACTAGGGGGCATGTTTCCTTAGCTTCTCGTAGGACGCCAGTTAGACAGCACTGATCATCTAGTGCAGCTTGACGGCCCTTGAGACTCCAGGGTTTTCAAGGAACGTGGCTGCTACCGCTGTAGGGGATCCACCAACCCAGTCCTCTCTCAGGGAGGCAGTGGGTGTGATAGCAAGAATAAACCTTTTGTGAGAAATTTACTCTTCTGTCCAATAATAACTATAACAGCTTTCTTTGCGTGTCTGATATGTGTCAGGCACTATGCAAAAAAGCTTTACACATTGTCTTATTAAATTCTAATAACAGCCTCCTGAGATATTTACCAACGAGACAGAAGGCTTAGATAGGGATTAAATAGCCTGCCGAGGATATGCAGTGGTAGAAATAATTTTGGAACACAAAGAAAAGGCGATCCAGGACCTAAAGGTTGGAATTCACACAGAAAAGAACAGCAGCTATCGTGTAACTGAGGAACTATCCATAGCTGAGGAAAAGAGACAAGTCTTAAGAATTCAGGCTAAAGGTGTTTCTTTCTTACTTGAGTCATTTTGATTTTTTAATGAAACATTTATTAGATTTATGTTCTGTTTTTAAATTGCTAGCCTTTATTTGTATAAAGCCATCCTAAAGTTTGGGCATTATAAAATAAAGGAAAGCAGGAAACTCAAAAAAAGTATGTCCATTCTGGAAGCAAATATATTCTACCAAAATTGAGGATTTAAGATTTTCCAAATTACAAATGAAGACACAATGTTGATACTAAATTCTGCAATCAGGATTTACAAGTTATGTATGTGAACTTCTTCCTGGAAATATCAACAAAAACAATGTTTTTGTATTTGTCTGATTCAGTGAGTTTTTAAAAATTTTAGTCGTCTCAGTATTATAATCTGTGTATTCTTCTCCAGCTCAGCATTATATTCTGAGTGTGTTCTTCTTGTTTGAGGAAATATTGGGACTTTTCATAAGTTCAGGGGATGAGAATACAAAGATTAATAAAGTGTACTCCCAGCCCTCAATGATCTTACTATCCAGAAGGAGACTCATGTATGTGCACAGATATGGAAACTTGTATGTGTACACAGATATGGTCTTCATAGCAGTAAAATGCAGGCTTCCCAAATATGGAAATAGTGAAAGGAGATTCAGGGAAGACTTCAGGAGAGAAAGATCTTAGAGGATAAATTTGACCTATAGACTAGAAGAAGATACTGGTCATTGCTATGTTCTTACTGATTCTCGTAGTACAGGATTCATTCCCAAGTCGTTTTCTTTCTGATTTTTGTAGTACAGTATAAAGTTTAACCTTTAACGAACACCCTTTATTAGGTATGGCAATAACATCCATTGGTCATCAAGTAAAATTCTTTGTTTTGTATGTACTAAAAATGTTTTTCTCCTTTTATTTTGAATCTTCTATATGTTTTTTAGTTTTTTAAAAAATGGAACCTTGTTCCTGTGATACTTTTGTGGCATTACCTCCAGCAACTGTTGGTAACGGGATTATTTTTGGGAAAAATTCAGATAGATTGTGCGATGAAGTACAGGAAGTAGTTTATTTTCCTGCTGCAGTTCATGATAACCCGAGAGAACATCTTCAGGTGGGTGAAGTACATGTTTTGTTAGCAATAGTTTTCTTTAAAAAATATCATAAACAGCTTTTTTAAAAAAAATAATTACCTAGCTATTTGGCAGGGACTATAGAAGTTAAAAATTCAAGGATTTAAATTTGAAAAATAATTTGAGTCAGAACTAGATTTCTGGTCTTATATTTCAATGATTTGGAGGAAGCTGAAATAACAATAAAAATAATTGTTAATTCTTTGATCAAATATTTGAATGTTTATCATACACAAGCATGTCAAATAGGGCAAAGATTTAAAGCGTGCTGTCAAGACCAGTTCTGTCTTCCAGGAGCTTAGGGTCTAGTAGAGGAATAGGATGTGTATGTAACTAACCCTATTATAAAGTAGGGTGGTTTAAATGCTAAATTTAAGTAAGAGCAACAAGTTGTGACAGCAGTGGAGAAGGAGCAGTTAATTCAGACTAGAGAATCAAGGAAGTCTTCACCAGGAGCTGGGGTTTCAGCTGGAGTTTGATGGACAGAAAGTATTCTGATTGGTATAGAATAGAGAAAGTCATTCCAGTCTCTAGAAGTAACAGTTTTATCATTAAAAAAGGCTTATGGGGCCCTGTGATAATACTATTAACATGCATTTTATGCAGTCCATTTGGTAGTATACACATTAGTTAAAGGATCCTTTAAAAATTATTAAAAATCCATTCAACATGGAACTTAAAACGTTTCACATTATGCTTTTATTGCTGTTATGTATTTTTCAGATTTCATTTTGTTGCTATTCTAATACTAAAATATATTAAATATTAGATGTTTTCTGTATACAGGCCTTTTTTTTTCTTTTGCAAGACTATTCATTTTAGATCCATTTCCACTTTCTCTCTTTATGTTTAAATTTCTCCTATTCTGTAAACCAGTGGTTCTGATTCTTTATACTACTACTATACTACTTTATACTACAGTATATATATATATATATATATACATATATATATATATATTAAAAATATGTACACCCATCACACCAGATGGGTGATTTCCACAGGTTACATAGGCTTCTATAGCAATTCTCTTGTATATAAGGGCTACCATATGGGACTTATGTCACTAATTAAGAAATACTGAACATTGAGATTGAGATTCATTCCCTTTAAGCTTCAACTGAATACATCTTCCTCTACAAAATATTTCAAGATTTCACAACTAGAAACTCTCTCTCCTGAGCTTGCGTTAACACCTCACTTTTACTTTTCTTAATGGCCCTTACACTTTACATTTTTGTTGTATTTTAGTTAGTGTAAAAGTCTTCGTTTCTCAAAAGCAAGATCTGTATCTGATTCATCTTTATAACTAATATATCTCTTAGCAGAGTGCTTTGTAGTAAGAGATGCTTAATAAATATTTGAATGAATAAAAGCTTTAGGGTCAATTCTGAAGATATTTTAAGGGTAATAATTTATTATAGAAAATTTTAAGTTAGTTATACTTTATTTCATAATGGGCATGTCTTCTGCTTGATTTGTAAGATTCTGAAACTTGATAACTTTTTCTTTTTTGGTTTTATAGTTGTTGCTATGATTTTCTTTACAGTGTACTTACATAGAAATTGATCAAGTTCCTGAAACATATGCTGTTGTCCTTAGTCGCCCAGCTTGGTTATGGGGGGCAGAAATGGGAGCCAATGAGCATGGAGTTTGCATTGGGAATGAAGCTGTCTGGGGAAGAGAAGAAGTTTGTGATGAAGAGGCACTACTGGGCATGGACCTTGTCAGGTTATTTTTTAATTATATTTTTTCAGTATAGAACTTGTCTAACACTCTTATAAGTTTTATTTTCCTATTTTTCCCATATTTTGGACATTGATACTTTATAGTTTGTGTTAAAATGCTTCAGAGTACAGACACACCTCATCTTATTATGCTTTGCCTTATTGCACTTCACAGATATTGCAGTTTTTACAAATTGAAGGGTTGTGGCAATGTTATGCCAGGCAAGTGTATCAGCACCATTTTTCCAGCAGCATTTGCGGACTTTGTGTCTCTGTGTCACATTTTGGTAATTCTCACAATATTTCAAACTTTTTATTATTATTATATTTGTTATGGTGATCTGTAATTAGTGATTATAACTTGGTGAAAGCTCAGATAATGGTTAGCATTTTTTTAGCAAGGAAGTATTTTTAAATTAAAGTATGTAATTGTTTTTTTAGACATAATGCTGTGGCACACTTAATAAACTATAGTATAGTGTGAACATAACTTTTATATACACTGGGGAACCAAAAAATTCATTTGACTCGCTTTTTGTGATATTCGTTTTATTCCAGTGATCTGGAACTGAACCTGCAGTATTTCCAAAATATGCTTATATATGCATGTAATTTGCAGACTCAAAGATCATTAATTGGGAGAAGGAAAGGAGTTGAAAATTATGATTCATTTATGTGAATTATATGAAGTACCTAACATACTTTATCAGACCTTAATTAATTCTCACAGTAACCTCATGGGCTATATATTATTATCCTCATTTTATAGTTGGACATTGATCTATGATTCCAAAGACTTTGTTTTCATGATTCCAAACTGACTTCGGAAGGAATGGCTTAGAAGTTGGATTTCAGTTTATCCATTAACTTGAAAGAGTTTTTGCTTTGAATATAAACAAAAAATCTCATGTGCATGAAATTATTTAAGAGAAATGATGGAAATTTATTTTAATCTGAGAACTTTTATATTTTTATTTTAGACTTGGCCTTGAAAGAGCTGATACAGCTGAAAAAGCCCTCAATGTCATTGTTGATCTATTAGAAAAATATGGCCAGGGTGGAAATTGTTCAGAGAGTACGATGGTATTTAGCTATCACAATAGTTTCCTGATAGCTGATAGGAATGAAGCCTGGATTCTGGAGACTGCAGGGAAGTACTGGGCTGCAGAAAAAGTACGAGGTATGGACAACTTTTCATGATTTGTTTTTTTTTTAATTTGTCTTATAATTAATAAAATAACCCCCTTAACTGCAGACATTGCATTTAATTGTTTCTCAAGATTTATAATCCAGTGCAATGAAGGGTTGAACTTCAGGGAAATGAAAAAATTTGAAAGAATGTTAACAGTGAAAGAGCACTACAAGGGGCTTTTCTGAAAAAGAGAAAAAGTGTTCTCTCTTTTCCATATTATGATATTAATTTTATATAACCTGTATATATTTTCTGTGCTGCATCTCTTGGTTGTTTTAGTACTTTTTTTTAAAGATTTTATTTATTTATTTGAGAGAGAGAGAGAATGAGAGATAGGAAGCACAAGAGGGAAGACGGTCAAAGGGAGAAGCAGACTCCCTGCTGAGCAGGAAGCCCGATGCGGGACTCGATCCTGGGACTCCAGGATCATGACCTGAGCTGAAGGCAGTCGCTTAACCAACTGAGCCACCCAGGTGCCCTGTTTTAGTACTTTTCTGCTTCTTAATAACCCCGTGCCATTTCTTCCTCTTTTAACTTTGGGGTGAACTCAAACATTTTATTGCCTGTGGATATGGAGGTGAGAAAGGGGGAGTGCTCCTGGGGATTAGTATCTGTCAGTTAGTGGCTGGAAAGAATATGTTGATACAATAGTAAAGAGTAAATATTGAGTAAAATAACAATTTGATTGTTTTAGGATGCTTTGCATGCATTTTTTTCATGGTTTCTTTGTGACCATATATTCCTTTCATTTCTCAAGTGACGAAATCTGGAGATGTGAATGAAGTGCTTTACTTGAGGCAGCGATTGAAAGACTTAGAATTTAAATCTTTCCATCCTGACTCTCAGTTCAATATTCTTTCATTAGAGTTACAGCCTTGTACTCAAGCATGATCATGTACCTTCTATGTACTTACCTCCTGGATCTCCTAGTTTTACAGGAGAGATAATTTGCACATGTAAAATATTAAATGCCTGAATGATTCAGGCACATAGATGATGTGAACATTTAGAGAAAGGAAAAGTCGTTGTGGGCTGGAGAAATTCAGAAAGTCTTCATGAAGGTAGCCTTGCACTTTGGAGGATTTGGATATTATTTTTCAAAATAAGTTCTTGCCAATTGTTTTGATGACATTTTATTTTATATTTTGCCTGTTTTTATTTTGTATAATATATAAAATTGAATTTAGACTATTTTCTTACTTTATAATTGGCCTGATTGTACCACTAGCACTCTTTATTTTATTAAGTGTGCTAAATGCAAGAGAGAAATGAATAAATGTATTCTCTTGAGAAAGATAGCCCTACTAGCCATTCAAAATGAACACCTTCATTGAGTGTAATCATCCAGTTGTAGATTAACTTTTCCAACTGGTTTCTCTTCCTATTGCTAAATGAGCCCAAGAACTACATAATTAAATTTTAGTGAATTATCTATTAGATGGAAAACTCCTCTTCCCTGTCTGATTCTATCATGATGTTATTCTAGTTTTTGTAGTGAGAATATCCCAAGGATGACTTTGTTAGAGTAATTTAATTGATTTCTGCTTAGCAGACTGTTATTCTTTTTTTAAAAAATTTTATTAGATCTGTTTTTTTTTTTAAGATTTTATTTATTGGGGCGCCTGGGTGGCTCAGTCATTGAGGGTCTGCCTTCGGCTCAGGTCATGATCCCAGGGTTCTGGGATCAAGCCCCACATCGGGCTCCCTGCTAAGTAGGAAACCTGCTTCTCCCTCTGCCGCTCCCCCTGCTTGTGTTCCCTCTCTCGCTGTGTCTCTCTCTGTCAAATAAATAAATCTCAAAACTCAACAGTAAAAAGACAATCCAACCAGAAAAATGAGCAAAAGACAGGAAGATACATTTCACCTAAAGGGATATACAGGTGTCAAAAAAGCACATGAAATGTTCAATATCATTAGCTATTAGGGAAATGCAAACTAAAGCCACAATGAGCTATCTCTGTACTTATATCAAAAGAGTTAAAATGTTTTAAATGACACTACTAAACACTGGTGAGAAGGTGGAGACTGGATCACTTAATCATTGCTGGTAAGAGTGTGTAGCTACTCTGGAAAACAGTTTGGCAGTTTTTTAAAAAAACTAAATACACAACTGCCATACCACCCAGCAATTGCAATCTTGCATTTATCTCAGAAACTTACATTCACACAAGAACCTGTACGCAAATATTTATAACAACTTTCTCCATGATAGCCAAAAACTAGAAACAACCCAGATGTCCTTTAACTTGTGAATGGTTAAACAAACTGATATATACCATGGAATAATACTCAGCAATAAAAAGGAATGAACTATTGATATATGTAATAACCTGGATCAATCTTTAGAGAATGCTGTCAAGTGAGAAAAGAAAAAAAAGGTTATATGCCATATGATTTCATTTGTGTAATATTCTTGAAATGACAGTAATAGAAATGGATAACAGACTAGTGGTTGCCTGGGTTTAATGAGGGTTTAGTGGGGGTAGATAAGTGGGTGTGCCCATAGGAGGGCAACGTGAGTGATCTTTGTGGAGATGGAAATATTCTGTATCTTGACTGTATCAATACCAATAGTTTAGCTGTGCTATTATACAAGATGTTACCATTGGGGGACACTGTGTAACGGGTACACAGGATCTCTGTATTACTTCTTACAACTGCATGTGAATCTACAATTATCTCAAAATAAAAAGTTTAAAAAGTTTAATTAAAATAATTCATTTATCTTTTTAGAGGCGGGGAGAGAGAGGGAGAGAGTAAGATCACAAGCAGAGCAGAGGGGAGTAGAAGGGACAGAGGGAGAGGGAGAGAGAGAATCTTAAGCAGGTTCCACACCCAGCGCAAAGCCCGATGCAGGTCTGTCTCATGATCCCGAGATCACGACCTGAGTTGAAATCAAAAGTCAGACACTTACCTGAGCAAGCCACCCAAGCACCCCTATTTATCTTTTTGAGTATGTAATAGATGAGATGTGCATGGTACAAAATTTAGAAGTCTATATTCGCATTTTAAATAGTGATTAAGAATCATAATGTACAGATAAATATAACATGTTAAATGCAATTTTTCTTTTCCCTTCCCCTCTTCTTCTTTGAAAATAGAGGGAGTTCGTAATATTTCTAATCAGCTTTCTATAACAATCAAGATTGATCGGGAACATCCAGACATGAGAAACTATGCTAAGCAGAAAGGTTGGTGGGATGGTAAAAAGGAGTTTGATTTTGCTGCAACATACTCTTATCTTGACACAGCCAAGATGATGATTTCACCAGGCAGATACTGTGAAGGCTACAAGCTTCTGAATAAACACAAAGGTAATTTTATCACTGAAATAATATCAGAATGAAAAATTATATTCTGCCTGGGTATAATGTGGGTATGATAAAATCTGGTTTTGAAGGAATTATTCTTAGTGAAGATACAGTTTTATTAAACTGAAATTTTATAAACTAATATAAGCTTTTTTTCTTGAGATGAGTGAAGTGCTATATAATTCTGAGAGGATAATAATACTTTTTGAACGACAGGTTCAGATTCACAATCCTCAGACCCCTTTTTTCAGTTTTTACTAATATTCTTAAACAAAATTGGGATTATTTTTCTTCTCAGAAATTATTGGAATATGGAGACGGGTTTCTTTAATCTGTCTTTTGATAATACTCTTGGTTATTTTCTTACTAAAATAGTTGTATCTAGAACTAGTTGAGAATTTTAAGTGAGCAGATGTAAGAATTCCCTCTTCTCCTCAATTCTAGAAATACTGAATAAAATATTTAAACATTAAGGATATATATAGTTAGGTCAAACACAAGAAAAGGAAATCACCAACTACCAAAAATGAAGAGAGAACCCATAGTGTTGGCAAGATTTGAGGTGTCTCTTCCTCATATAGTTCTCCTATCTGTATCAAAGAGGGGATTCTGGACCAGATATAAGCCTTAAACGATAGTTCTAACATCCATGAGAAGGTCGGTGTCTAGGTGAAGACTTATTTGGGGAGCAGGAACTGGACTACTTACCAAGATTATGAATCTGAAAAATGCAATTCTGCTCCCTTCCCAGAGTCCCAGCCTGGAATTCAGCTGTCTGTTGTCTCAGGCTATGGGTCAGCACAGTCTCTGGTGAGAGATTGAACTCGAAGCTAAATGTATTTGGTAGGCTCAGCTGGAGCTACCTGTGCTGTGCTGAGAAACAAACACTAGTTGAACCAGTAAATCCCACAGGATCTCAGCATACCTGTGTCTCTATAGTCACTATGTGAATATTTGATATGATAGATATTCAGATTTTACTCAAATTTCCTATCCAAATGAGAAATTTGCCATAATGAATCTACATGTAACTGCCATTGAAAACATTTAAGTTATGTGGACACTGAGATAAAAGGATGTAGTTTCTACATTTACTATGGATAGTTTCTATTATGTCCTCAAGTTTACTGATCCTTTCCTCTGCATTATCTAATCTGCTGTTAATCTCATCTAGTGATACTACATTTCAGTTATTATGTTTTTTATCTCTATATGTTCCATTTGGTACTTTTTGTGTATATTTCCCATTTCTCTATTAATTACTTTCATGGTTTTTTTTCAATGAGCATATTCAGCACATACCTGTTTTATAATAGCTGTTTTAGCCTCACTGTCTGCTAACTCCATTATCTCTGCAATTTCTGGATCTGTTTCTGTTGATCTGATTTTCTTCTGGTTTAGCGTCAAATTTTCCTGCTAATTCATGTGTCTGGTAATTTTTAATTGGATAGTAGACATTGTAGATTTTATTTGTTGCGTGCTGGATTTTGTTTTATTCCTTTAACGAGTGTTGGACTTATATTAATTAAGTAACTGTTTTTAAGCTTTTCTAGGATAGGTCTAGAGTAGCCTTTACTCTAGGGCTGGTTTGGTACCACTACTAAGGGATGTGATCCTTCTGGATATTGTGATCATTATGCCTTTACTGATTTTTTTTTAATTATTGTATATATTAATGAGAGAGGAGTGTGAAAATCTCAAGTTATATTTATGGAATTGTGTGTTTTTGCTTTGTATTTTGAAGCTCTATTGTTAAGTACATACACATTTATAATTGTTAAGTCTTCCTGGTGAATTGGCCCTTTTGCCTTTATGAAACATTATTTCTCATGGTAATGATCATTTTCTTGAAGTCAGTTTTAGCCCAGTCTTCTGCTTACTGTTTACATGACATATACTTACCTATCATTTGCTTTCAAACTATCAGTATTCAGACTATCAGTGCATTTCTTATAAAAAGCATATAGTTTGATCTTTTCTTTTTTAAAACCATTCTAATAAGTTCTGCCTTTTAATTAGAATCTATAGTTCATTAGAAATTTTATCATTGAAAAACACAATACCAAAGTAAAAATTAACTCAGTAGGCTCAATAGCAGAATGGAGATGACAGAGGAAAGAGTCAGTGGACATGAAGATAGATCAGTAGAAATTGTCTAATCTGAACAACAGAAGTTGAAGCAAGCAAACAAAAAGAACAGGGTCTTAGGGACTATGCAATAGTACCCAGATGTCTAAAATTTATGTCATTAGATTCTCAGAAGGAGAGAATGGTGTGATGCAGAAAAATTTTTGAATAGTGGCTGAAACCTTGTCAAAATGGCAAAAGACTTAAGCTTACAGATTCAGGAGAGGTAGAAATCTCAAACAAGATAAACTCAAATCCATGCCTAAATGCACAAATTGCTAAAAACCAAAGACAAAGAAAAAAGTCTTGAAAGCAGCTAAAGAAAAACAAATTACATGCAGGTAAAAAAATGATTTCTGCGAGTTTATCATTATAAACCATGGATGCCTAAAGGCAGTGAAACATTTTTAAAATTCTAAAAAGATCTGTCAAACCAGAATTCTATATTCAGCCAAAATATTCTTCAGGAATGAAGGAGAAATAAAAATATCCTGATATGTAGGAGAATTAAGAGACTTTGTTGCCAATAGATTGATCTAAAAGAAATTTTAAAGGAAGTTTTTTAGATATAAAGGAAATGATACCACAGTGAAACATGGAAATTTAAGAATGAAGGAAGAGCCACAAAAATGAGAAATATCTGGGTAAATATAACTATGTTTCTCCTCTTAAGACTTTAAAAATATGTCTGACAGTTATAAGCTAACATTACATTTCCTATGATACACAATTACCTCAGTATAAAGAGGGGAGTACATAGAGACCTGTATGGTGGTAAGATTTCTACATGCTCCTTGAAGCTTTAAAATATTAATTCTAGTAAATGGAAAAGTTAAGTATGTATATTGTAATCCTAGATCAACTTTTTTTTTTAACTAAAACAGTTGACAGTTTTTTTTTTTTAAGATTTTATTTATTTATTTGAGAGAGAGAGAATGAGAGATAGAGAGCACAAGAGGGAAGAGGGTCAGAGGGAGAAGCAGACTCCCCGCCGAGCAGGGAGCCCGATATGGGACTTGATCCCGGGACTCCAGGATCATGACCTGAGCCGAAGGCAGTCGCTTAACCAACTGAGCCACCCAGGCACCCAACAGTTGACAGTTTTATTTTCACATTTCACAATACAAATGAAAATTGCTCTTTTTTTTTTTTTTTTTGTCCCACTACTCCCTGGCAAAAACTATTCTCTCTTTGATAGGAAGGGGGAGCAAGTCTTCCTTGTCCTGGGAAAACACCTAGAGTCACAGTACTATGATCTCCTGGTGAAGTAGAACAAGTAATATAAAATGAATATAAAGAGGTTCCTGTCTCTTCTTATCTGTCTGGTCGAGTCATTCCTGGCCGAGTGGGCACCATCATGGGACGGGCAGGAGGTCTCAAAATTGGGGGCCCAGGCATCATTGGCATGTGGCCTCCCATAGGTGGCCTCATTCCAGGAGCAGATCCCACTGGCATCATCCCAGGAGGAGGAGGGCCCATTATTGGCATCATGGGAGGGCCCCCCTATGGCGTGCTGGGATCATACCAGGGCAAGGAGGACCCGGGAGACTGAGGGGAGGTGGGATCATTGCCCCTGCAGGAGGAGGAGCAGAGAATGGAGTAGGAGGTATCTTTCCTTGTTGAAATGCAGCGGTTGTTTTGTTGATCAGGCTCTGAGCCTGCTCTTCCATCCATTTCTGATAGTAGTCTTTCACATTCTGTTTGTGATTCCTTCCACTGCAGTGTGTCTTTCTCACAGATGGAGAGTCATGGGTGAGGTATGTGTCACAGTAGTCGTAATAAAACTTAGGCATGTTGCTCTGCAGGCCCCTAGATCAACTTTTTAAAAAGCTACATAATAAGATATAGAAAAAAGTTGAACAGATAAATTAAAATAGAGTACTAAGAAAATATTCAAAAATAAGGCGAGAAAGGGGAAATGGAGGAACAACAAACCAGAAGGATCAAACGGAAAACAAACAATATAATGTAGACCTGAATTCCAACATATGTATAAGTATAAATGTTCTAGGCACACCAATTAAAAGAGCATGTGAAAGTGAATTTAAAAAACAAAACAAGACTCAGCTATTGCTATATATAAATAACTAACTTAAGGTGAAAAGTAAAAGGATGGGAGAAGATATATCTTGTAAACACTCATCAAAAGACAGCTGGGCTGGCTATATAAATATTAGATGAATTAGACTTTAGAGCAAGAAATTATCAGGAAGAAAGAGGGATACTACATAATCAAAAAAGGTCATTTTAATGGGATTATTATGTCTCCATGGTAAATGTATATGCATCTAACAACAAAGCTTCCAAATATATGAAGCAAGAACTGATAGAACTGAAAAGAGAAATAGACCATTTCACAATTATAATTGGAGACTTCAATACTTCTCAGTTATCAGAAGAACTACTAGACAGGAAATCTGCAAGGATATAAAAAAACTGAACAATACCATCAACCACTGGTATATCTAATCCATTATTTATAGGATACTCCACCCAACAACAATGTAATACACAGTCTTTTCAAGTGCACATCAAACATACACCAAGGTTGTCCATATCCTGGGTCATAAAACAAATCTTACCAAATTAGAAGAAACATAACAAAGTATGATCTCTGGTGATAATGAAATTAAATTTGAAATCAATTATAGAAGGATATCTGCAAAGTCCCCCAAATACTTGGAAATTACACATTTTTAACCAGTGGGTCAGAAAAGAAGTCTCGAGGGAAATTAGAAAATATTTTGAGGGGAATGAAGTGAAAATGAATATACCAAAATTTGTGGGATGCAGCAAAGGTAGTGCTAACAGGGAAATTTATAGCATTTAATGCTTATAGTTGATAATAAGAAATTAATATAATATAAATATAAACT